CTTCAGTCAACATGGACATAAATAATCTTCAACAGTGCAGCTGCTGCAGCCAGAGCTTGCTCCCTGATGACGTCATGTTAGTAGTAAAACCTCAAAGTCTTTATGAATGAACACACCTCTCGCCGGGTGCGGTGGCGCGCGCCTGTAATCCAAGTTACCGGGAGGCTGAGGCTGGAGGATCGTTTGAGCTCAGGAGCTCTGAGCTGCAGCGGACTATGTCGATCGGTTGTCCACACTAAGTTCGGTATCGATATGGTGCTCCTGGGGGAGCCCGGGACCACCAGGTCGTCTAAAGAGGGGTGCACCGGCCCAGGTCGGAAACGGAGCAGGTCAAAGCCCCCGTGCCGCTCAGTAGTGGGATCGCGCCTGTGAATAGACGTTGGAGTGCAGCCTGAGTAATACAGCGAGACCCAGTCTTTTGACACTCTGCATACTGACAAACAAACACACGATCAACAACAACAGTGTCTACATGTTACAACAGCGTCAGCAGCACTGCTTCTGCTGCTTCTTGTTTCCATCTAAACCTGCACAAAGCTGCTGTGTTTGTTTGTCCTACAGCGCCTCCACCTGGTGGAGAGGAGCAATGACCATCAGTCAATCACACAGAACACATCCTCTAAAATAACAGAGTTTTTCATTTGATGAAAGAAGTTCATGGAGAGGTTAAAATCCACCATGAATGACCATCACACACAAGAACTGTATACTTCTAAAGTAGAAGGAAACTCTTGCCCTTCATCCACTCCACAAATGGAGGTCGGTGCTCTGAGAATGACTTGAGAAATACAAAAAATAATTCAGTGGATACCTTCTTCAAGACAGGAAACAAGTTGTCTACTTCTGTTTTTTTTATCTGGAGGTTTGAAAAAAATAAGACATTATGAGTAAACAAACTGAGAATTATTCTTGACTTGTCAGAAAAAAGTTGTGGACCATCCAAAGCAAATGATATCTATATCACATTCACATCCAAAAACCTTTGGTTTGGTGAACTGGTGGTCTGATTCTTAGAACTAGAGGCAGCTCTGTCACATTTTGCCAAAGTTAGAGACCACAAAACATAACTGAGTCCTCTCCCACCCTGAAACATTGTTCATGAGGCTGACAGCAGAGGGGAAGAAACTGTTCTTGTGGTGTGAGGTTTTGGTCTTGATGGACTGCAGCCTCTGCAGGGGAAAATGCAAGCGATGTGATGTAGTTCACTTTCATGTGTTGAAAGTAGCTCTCAGATGAAGAAAGGTTGGTATAACGTCAGAGTCAGATCGTTGCGGTTTCAAAGTGACTTTCTTTGTGACTTTATATGTGCGGGTAGGCTCTGTGAAGATAAACCGAGTTAACCAGATGTTTTAAGAGCAGCCAAACCAAAATGTGACCAGGATGCTAACATCATGTAGGAATACGTAAAGGATTTGTTAAAGTACACCGTTCAGGTGGCGCATGCTCTAAGGCAGGACATGTTTGTTTAGTGAGATCGAATCCAGCTCGGCACGATCATGCATAAATTTTATTTTATTTTATTTTCTCGCAAGTGGTATAGTGCCCATTATACAATCATAAGTGGCCGTGGACATTTACATCTGAAAAGCAAGGCAATAGAAATGTTCAGGTAGCTTTTCTAAGATCAACCCAGCAGTCTCCTGTCATGTGAATCAACCAGTGACTCAATGTTTGTTTTGAAATAGATCGTCACTGTTTCAAAGTATTTATTTGTCAAAATGGGTAGTGGTGTAGAGGTCTGTTATGTTGTGGTCAGTAAGACCATAGCCTTGAGAAAAAACCTTTATAGGCCTATGTGCGGGTATTTGAAGATTAACCGAGGTAACCAGTTGATGTAGAAGCAGCCAAACTAAAATGTGACCAGGAGTCTGACATCATAAACGAATATGTAATGGATTTGGTAAAGTGTCACTGTTCAGGTGGCGCATGCTGTAAGGCAGGACACAGGGTGTTCATTTTGTTTTAGTGAGGTCGAATCCAGCCCGATGCGATCGTGAACGTGGATTATATTTTCTTTATTTTGTATTTTTCTTAGGTGGCTGGGATGTAGTGCTCACTCATACAATCATATTTACCGCAGTAGATATGAGTTGCGACTTGGAATCAATTAAATTATAACCTTAATCATTCTGGCATTCAGAGGGTCTAACCTGGATATGAGGAAGGACTTCAGGTCCCACCAGGGCCACACAGAATGACATGTGAGCCCACATGGAGTCCTGGGTGATGTGGGTTCACTCCGAGCGCTTCAGTTTCCTAAAACAGAAACAAGTCATTTGAAAAATAATCACAATAAAAAATGACAATACATTTGAAGAAAGAACCATCTCTGTTTTAATACATTTCTTCAGATTATTTCTAATATGTATTTGTGTCTCACATTTTCATTTCTGTTCTGACTCTGTCCATGGTTCTGGTGTCTGCTCTCTATCACTTGCATTGTTTCTGTTTTTTATCATCACTTTATAAAGTAAACGCTGGGAAATGTCATGATATTTTATGGTCCAAACCACAAATGAATTAAAGATAATAACAAAACAGGAATGTTCATGAATTTCATTGAAGGGGACAAACAAACAAACAAAAAGGCAAACAGACATGAAGACAACACCTCACACTTTGTCCATCGTGGCTTGTTGATCAGTGTACATAAAAACAAACAATTCAGGTGGAAGCCTTTAAAAAAAGTAAGTATTGCACTATGGTAATAAGTAGATGGAAATTTGGTATTTAATCTGAACTGAACTGTATTTTAGTCCTTTGGTGGACTTTTCTAGTCCCAGTAACCCTTTAACCTTAATCACATGCTTTTCATGAACTTTTGAATCCAAGTGTCAGATTCTTAAATGTCAGTTTTATGGCTGTGTACTGCTGCTGACCTCTAGTGGTCAAAGACAGAACTGTCTGAGAGTCTCAACTTCTTTCTTCTTGTTTCTTCGGGGTCCTCCTCAGGTGTGGGAGGATTTCGGGGAGGCTATAGAGAAGGACTTTCAGATCACCTCAAGGAAGTTCTGGCAAACTGTTCTCCGGCTCAGGGAGGGAAAGCAGGGCTTGCCTGGGCTGTTATCAACAGGGATAGAGAACTGCTGACCCGGACTTGGGACATCGTGGGGTGGTGGAAGGAATACTTTGAGGAACTCCTGAACCCAACCAACACATCCTCTGAAGGGGAGGCAGAGTCTGAAGATCTGGGGTGAACCTTACCACTAACCTTAGCAGAGGTCACTGAGAAAGCTCCTCAGTGGCACCAGATGTGGATGAGAGTCGCCCTAAGATGCTAAAGGTTCTGGACATTGTTAGGCTGTCTTGGCTGATGCGTCTCTTCAATGTCACGTTGAGGTCTGGGACAATGCCTGTGGGGTGGCAGATCCCATTTATAGAAAGGGGGACCGAGGTTGTGCTCTATTTATCGGGGAATCGCACTTCTCAGCCTCCTGGGGAAAGCCTTGAAGCAGACTTATGACCGTGTTGCTCGGGGGGTCGTGTGGGACTGGATCACAAGTTGTAGCCGGGGGGAGGACGGTTCTCAACATATCCTCTCTTTTTTTGCAGACGATGTGGTTGTGTTTGCTTTTTCATGCTGGGACTCCAGAAGGCATTGGGCTGGGACTTCCAGAAGGCATTGGTGCAGTTTGAAGCGGCTGGGATGAGGTTCAGCACCTCAGGGTCTAAGGATGTGGTTCTCTGTTGGAAAAAGTGGATCGCTTCCTCCAGGTGGGGAGTGATTATTTGCCCCCAAGTGAAGGAGTTTAAGTGTGTCAGTGTTGTTCAAGAGTGAGGGTAAGATGGACCGTGAGATTGACAGACGGATTGACTCAGCGTATATGGGGGCGTTGTACCGAACTGATGTAGTGAAGAGGGAACTGAGACTCAAGGGAGAGCTCTCGATTTACCGATCTTCATTCCAACCCTCTGTGGTCACGCCATAGACTGTAAAAAGATGCATTATGGGTAGTCACTGAAAAAGTGGCTGCTACTCCTTCACATCTAAAGGAGACAGTTGAGGTGGTTCGGGCGTCTGATTGGGTCTCCTGGACGCCTCCCTGTGGAGGTTTTTACGGGCATGCCCGACCGGGAGAACCCCCTGGGGTAGACCCAGAGTTCACTGGAAGGATATCCTTTCAGTTCTGGGAACGCCTCAGTCCTGGGAACAGCTGGAAAATGTTGAAGGGGAGAAGGAAGTCTGGGTTTTTTTATTTTATTTTAGTTGTTTTTTTAATTTGGTAATATTTTAGCATTATTTAGGTGGAGGCTTCAAATAAGCTCATTGAGTTTTCTGCCTCTTCCTGCACTAAATGTTGTCTATTCTGTTATTTGTTTTTTTCCCTTACTGTGCAAATAAATAAAATAATAAATAATAAAAATGTACTTCGCCTGTTGCCACAGCGACCCGACCTTGATAAGGAATAAAATGTAGATAGATGGATTGGTGATTTTTTTTATATGTGTGCTGATATAAAAACAAAACATTTGACAAAATATTTAATGGAGAAACCGCCATTAGGATCATTTAGATATGGTGTCATCATGAAGGCTGTCCAGCAGAGGGCGCTCCTGATCCACAGTGAACAATACTGTACTTTCTTTTTTTTCCTCCCTCTATAACCCTTATTAATCTGTGTTGCTCAATTCAATTTAAGTCTTACTTTTTTATATATTTAATCTCTAAAGTGTTTTCTGTTTTTATGTAGGACACAAAGGAGAGAAAGGTTTGATGAAAGATGAGATTGATGATTTGATAGAGTTCAGTATTCAGAGTTCTTCCTCCAGGTGATATATTCAAGTATGAAACACAGAGCTTTACTTCAGAAACAGAACTGAGCCTTTGACCTTTGACCTCAGAGTTCTTACTGTCCTTTAACTTACAAATATTTGAACTCTTAGGTCAGAGTGTTGAAGTTAAAATAACACACTCAAACAGTTCTGTTTTTGGCCACCAGAGGACAGCAGAGCACAGATATTCAATAGTTTGATGTTATTGTTCAAGAATCAGACACTGATTAAGTCAAATCTTTTTATTTATTCCTTTTTACAATAGTAACAAGAAATGCAAGAGAAACTTGATGGTGAGAGAGCCGATGGAACGCTGTTGAAAGTGTTTGTGTCCAATCATCGTCTCAGAAAAACCAAACGAGACCAGATAAAAAAATAGATATAAATATCAATATAAACACATATATACATATAAACAGATATTAACAAAGTTTGTCAGGATCCAGCAGCTGGACCAGAACAGGATCCTGAACCGTCTCATCCTGAGGAGAAAAGAGATTTAGTTTAAATCAAACATTTAGTAAATCTGTAAAAACAGGACAGAGTTGATCAGTCAGTCAGAGAACATTTGATCAAAGCTCTGCTGGCTCACCTTCGACTCTTTGGAGTCATCTGACATCAGACTCTGCTGAGATGATTGTCCTGAATTCATACCCTCCTGTACAGAAAACATTAATAAGAGAGACTTTAATAAATCATTGAACATAAAACAGATTGAAAGTAAAGAGAGTTTAAAACATACCTGGTAGTAGAGTACTGCTGCTATGACTTCTGGAATAAGACATTAGAAATAAAAATCAAATAAATGATGAGACAGACCATAATATCTTTAAAATAAACATGATCATGTTTCATTGTCACAGTGGAGACCTTACCTGAGATTAGAAGTCTTATTATCCACCATGCGAGATAACAAACTAAAAGTACAGAGAATAAAGACATCACAACAACAACGAAGTTAATCAGTACAGTCCTGTGTAACAGTAGTCCTCCACACTGAGCGTCCTCTGTCTCAGTTCCTGGTCTCAGCAGCTCTCGACCCTTTGATTCACATCTGTAATGATAGAGGGACAGTTATTACAGGAACATCTGGAGAGTCCATGTGTGATGTGAAGCTTCACTCACTGTGTGTGTTTCTGACAAGATGGAAACGTCCCGTTTGAAAATGTTCCATCAGAGCAGATCGAGCAGACGGTGTCTGTGGAGGAAGTTCCTGCAGGAAATACAGAACACATGAGACTATTTCACAGAGGTTGTTTTAGACATGAACACAGTCCCTCTACCACCGTCCACCATACGTGTTAATGACGGGGTAAGAATGGCGTCCCAGTCTGTGAGTTCACATTGAACTCAAACTGTCTGTGTGTGATGAAGTGAAATGTGTTTAACTAACCGTGTTCTCTGATGTATTCTCCTGGTTTACAGCGTCTGTGTTTCCTTGCTTCCACACAGTCGTCCTTTCTAGAGTCTGAGCAGTAAAATCCTTCCAGAGGTTCACAAACTGTGTCTGATACTATCGTACACGACGTCTTCATCTTCAGACCAGAACCTGTCGACACAAACACAGAGGTTATTTATGAACTACTGTACTTCTGCTCTACTGAAGAACAGTTTGGTGTAAGGAAATAACAAGTACTCAGATGATCATCTCTGTGTTTGAGGCTCAAACTCAAACTAACTGAAGGTTAGAAAGCTGGTTTTACAATGATGACTGTTTAGTAACATGTTCTGATCTTTATTTAGTTTGATAATAATGTCAGAGATCTACCTTCATCACAGCTTTTACAGTTGTAGCAGACTGGACGAGAAGTCGGATGGTCCATAAAGGTTCCTTCAGGGCAGGGCTTACAGTCAGTACTTCTGGACTCTGTGCAGTCTGCATAAACTCGACCTCCTGTTTGAAACAACAACAAGACATGGAGTGGGCGAAAAAAGGAGGAACAGGAAGACGGTAAGTGGAACAGAGGACGATAATATATAATGAATATGTTTAAAGGTAATTGTAAAGGTAAATGTTCTTTAAATGTATATGTTGAAAACAATACAAATATTAAACAGCTTTTGCATGTTTTTAGTTAGTCACAGGTTATTTATTTAAAATAGGGACATTGAAACTAACCTGATAAACTTTAATTAAAGATTCTTTAACATTCATGAGGATCTTACCAGCTGGACACATAGGACAGCATCTATCATTTATCTGATACTGTTTTTGAGGACATGTCAGAGTTTGACCTGTGGAGACGTTCATCAGGAGACTCTGTGAAGAGAAAGAGAAATGTTCTCACTGAAGACAAAGTGTACATGAATACAGAGAGAAATCTAAAATCATCATCCAGTCCATGAAGAGAGAAGGGGGAAAGAGTTCAAATCTTCACATCTGAAGTTTGTCTGTTTGTGTGAAGAAGAATCATTCACAACAAATATTTACACAGATAGAAATGCTGAAGAGGAGAAATCTAAAACCTGAATCAGTGCTCAGATAATTCAATAAGATCATTTACCAGAAACACTGCAGCTGATCCAGGTCTCATTCTCTCTGTAACAGAAGACCAGCACAGATTCCTCATCTGTTTGAACCAACGCAGATTTAAGACCAAGAGAAATGTAACTCCAAACCAGGACAGGTAACACACTCCCAGAGAAAAGTGTTTTCAGCTTCCTGCAGTCAGAGAGAGATCACCATCTTCATCATCATCATCATCATCTTCATGACAGACGCAGATTGTTCACCAGGTGTAAATAGTCTCAGACATAAATGGAAATTATGAACTGGATCTTACCATGTGGACACACAGCACAGCATCCACCAGGTGTCTCATACTCGTATGGACCACATGTCAGAGTTTGACCTGTGGAGACGTTCAGCAGGAGAATCTGTGATGAGAAATAGAAATGTTCTCACTGAAGACAAAGTGTACATGAATACTACCTGATGATGATAAATCTGTTTAATATTTCACAGAGTAAAAACAGTGTGAAGTCCAAACCATGACTACGATATTATCAGGATACTGGAGTCAAGATACGATATTATCAGGATGCTGGAGTCAAGATACGATATTATCAGGATGCTGGAGTCAAGATACGATATTATCAGGATACTGGAGTCAAGTGTAACAAGTGTATTAAAAAGCAACTGATTTTGCAAAAGGACCCTCTCCTTAATCAAAAAGGTCGAACTACAAAGTTATTTATCCCCATTGAATAAATGGGAATGGTTTAAATATGATGTTAGAAAAATTGGCATTCAATGAATACAGAGGGATACCTATTTACCTTTGAAGAATTTACAACAAATGATCTAAAGTAACATGTCATATTCTCTGTGTGTACCTTTCTTGCCTTGTTTAAAAGTTGGTGAAGTTGATCTGTTTGATAGACGGTGAAACAGTCTTTAAACAGAAAAACAAGAGACCTTGAGAAAATTGTGTTTTTCTTTTTAATCTGTCATGTCCAGTTACTCCTACGCTCAAAGAAACACATTTTAAAGTTGCATGTACAATCGACCCAGTTTGTGATTTTTTTACACAAAAGGCTCCATTTTGAAGTAGATCCCTGTGCTTTTTGCTCCTCAGAGGTAGGAACCTTGGAACATTTACTTGTTGACTGCTCATACAGTAAAACATTTTGGGCTGATATCCACAGCTGGTTGTCTTTAAAGATTGATAACATTCCTACATTTTCTGACAAAGATATCCTCTATTATATTCAGACATTGTTAACCTTGTTATAATTTTGGGTAAATTTATACTAATTTATAAAATATATGGAAAATAGAATAGAAAGGCCAAAAAACTTGATTTGGATATATCTAAAGTCTTGCTTTTAAATGTTTCTTGCCTTGCCTGAGCTATTTCTATGTTCACCTGATTTGTTTTCTTTAATTGATGTATGGAATTTATTTTCCGTTAATTAGTTAATGTAGATTTGGTAGTGAAATTTGAAAGTTCAATTTCAAAATAAAACACAATATACGGACTCGCGATCGTATTTATCGTCACTTTATCAACATTACGTCAAAACAGACACCGAATTAACAACAATACATCCTCAGAAAGACAAAGCAGCATGTTGTTTACATGTTTTTCTCTTTAAATTTAGGGTCGGCTCACTTCACCATGTAAACTTGAGGAGCGGCTGGCTTGACCGCAGTGTTTCCTGAGAAGATTACAAGACTCGTCAACAACAGTCAGGAAGTCACAAAGACTTCATGTTTAGAAATAACTTCAACATTTTCTCCCTATGAGTCTCCTTGTTGTAGTCCTTATATCTGCCCTGAAGTTTGAGGTTATTTTCATGTATTTCGATAAAGTCTAAAGTGTCAGACAGCCTGAGTGTCTCAGGATCCTCTGTGTTCATTTAGTGATCATTAGAGGATTTATAACATTTCACACAGAAGAGTTTTAACTTTAAAACAACGAAATTCACTTTTACACTGTTCTCCAATGTTGTTTAGTCTTTAATTTAATAAAATATGGTAAGAAAAACACGGGCACACATACCTTAATGCACCAAATGGCGTCGCTGACAATTTCACTTTCGTTTTTCAGCCCTTCAAAATAAAAGCATTAAAAGTAGAACCATCCAATAGTATCTGTCTGCAGTCTGAGAAATCATGAAGAAAACATGCTCAACTCCTTTTCAACGTCAAACTACATTTTTATTTTAATTGCCACAAGGACGTTTCGAGCAGATGCTCTTCTTCAGCGTGTAAACAGGCAATGTTGTCAGATATACACAGGTGGGACGAATTTATACTTGTCTACATTAGAACATGTTTATTTATGAAACACATGACTCCAGCCATATCAAAGCTGTCGTATCCTCCAAAGCGTAAAGAAAGAGTCCTGCAGCCAGTCTCTGCAGACGGGTGGATGGAGCTGAGAGTAAATAAAAAAAAAAAAAGATATTTATTTTGATACACAAAATTTCATCAAAAATACAAAAATTACTAAATCTTAAGAGTGTAATAAACCCAAATAACTTCAGTAAGATGACATAATTCTCTATAAAGCGCCAGATCTCGCAAGAGAAACAAGCAACCAGCTCTATGGAAACAAGCCCAAAACAAGCGACCTGGCTCCTCAAATAAATAAAATGAAGCCCAACAGGTGACCTAACTTACCACATAGTGTAAAAGAGAGGTCACTTGATAGCAGTATATATATATATATATACATATATATTTATTTGTTTGTCTTGTCTCATTTTGATTTGAAACGGTGAAATCGATGTCCGTAAGCCTCATGGATTTTGGTGAAGTTTTTTTTGCTTTTCAGTGCCAGCATCATCAGCATGCTGTATTATGGTCGGATCCAGTCTCTTTCTCTCTCTTTATTATACTTTTTTCCATTTAGCCAAAACATTTAGGCTAATGAGTTAAGTTGGATTTGTTGGTGTAGCCGGTCTGGCTTGACACTGTGTGTGCTACGAAAGGTTCTCTGTTGTGCTGTGTGGATGAGATGAAGACCAAGGACTCTGTTACCAGCTGGAGCAGGTTTATTTTCACACCTGTGTAAAATAAAATACATTCAGTACACACCTCTCCTCAGCGGGGTCTTGGGCCGTCTGACACAATGCATGGGTGTGCTGTGGCATCCATTTTTAAATAAGAACAAAAACAAAATAAAAAGCTTTCTGACGCTTCAGCGTGGCCACAGAGCCCGGGCATCCACGACTACAGATTTGCCTATTTTCTCTGGTCATCTGCTAAACGCAACATGTGCTACAAAGAAATCTCTGTCATTCATGGGAACAGGAAAAGACACATCTGTCATAGACAACGAAATCTTAACAACTTGTCTCTGCTTAAGAAAGCCTCTTCTACCACCCTTCATTTACTTTTGGCCTCTGGAACTGTCAGTCTGCTGTGAATAAAACTGAATTCATCCAAGCACTTGCAAAAATGTCAGACATTCAGGCACTTGCCCTTACTGAAACCTGGATCCGCCCAGAAAATACAGTCACACCAGCTGCTCTTTCTGTTGACACAGTGTTCTCACACACACCCCGCTCTGTTGGACGTGGAGGTGGTACAGGTATCCTCATTTCTAATACCTGGAAATTCCGATCTGTTCACACCAGACATGTTTGCCTCGAATTTTGCTGAAAAGGTTGCAACCATCAGTAACCAGTTTTCTGAGCCTGACCAACTTAGCCCAAAGGCACCAACCAAAAGTGCCTCACTCGACTCATTCTCCTCTCTGACTGAGGATGAAGTCTCTAAGCTTGTGCTAGACTCTCGACCCACCACCTGTCCTCTGAACCCAATACCATCAAGCCTCCTGCAGACCATCTCCGCTTAATGCTGCACTTAAGCATATCATCAACTCCTCTCTGTCAACGGGTGTGTTCCCCACCGCATTCAAGCAAGCTCGGGTCACCCCTCTGCTCAAAAAACCCACACTTAAACCCAGCCCAGGTTGAAAACTACAGATCGTTTTCTCTTCTGCCCTTTCTGTCAAAAATACTTGAGCGCACAGTCTTTAAGCAAGTCTCTGAGTTCCTGTCCAGAAATGATCTGTTTGACCCAAATCAGGCTTTAAGCGGGGCCACTCTACTGAAACTGCACTACTGTCAGTAACAGAATCGTTACAAGCTGCCAGAGCTGCGGGTCAGTCCTCAGTTCTATTACTGCTAGACCTGTCTGCTGCCTTTGACACAGTCAACCATCAAATTCTCCTATCCACGCTCTCTGAACTTGGCATCTCAGGATCTGCCCTCTGCTGGTTCCTGTCCTACCTCTCTGGGCGATCCTTTAGAGTGTCGTGGGAGGGAGAAGTGTCCAAAGCGCACAGCTTATCCACAGGGGTACCTCAAGGGTCAGTGCTTGGTCCCCTTCTCTTCTCCATATATACAAGCTCACTTGGTTCAATAATCTGCTCTCATGGCTTCTCATACCACTGCTATGCTGATGATACCCAGCTCTTCCTATCATTCCCACCAGATGATGATACAGTCTCTGCAAGAATCTCATCATGCCTTGCTGATATCTCTAAATGGATGAATGAACGGCACCTTCAACTCAATCTTTCAAAGACTGAGCTCCTTGTCATCCCAGCCAGTCCCTCTATGCAACCACAGATCAATATCCAGCTTGGAACAACCAAACTCATGCCCGCAAAGTCTGCCCGGAACCTGGGTGTCATGATTGATGACCAGCTAACTTTAAGGTTCAAGTAACCTCGATTGCCCGGTCACGTCGATTTGCCCTGTACAACATCAGGAAGATCAGACCTTACCGGTCAGAACACGCTACACAGTTCCTGGTACAGGCTCTTGTGATATCACGCATCGACTATTGCAACTCTCTACTGGCAGGTCTTCCTACATGCACTATCAAACCTCTGCAAATGATACAAAATGCAGCAGCACGACTGGTCTTCAACCTTCCTAAAAGAGCACGTCACTCCGCTGTTCATCGCTTTACACTGGCTCCCAGTTACTGCTCGCATCAAATTTAAAACTCTGCTGCTCGCTTACAAAACAGTGACAAAAACGGCTCCTCCTTACTTTAACTCTCTCATCCAGGTCTACACTCCCTCCCGCCCACTACGCTTTGCCAATGTCTGATCCAACCTTCACAACAGGGTCCTAAGTCTCTGACTAGACTCTTCTCCTCTGTTGCCCCCTGGTGGTAGAATGAACTTCCAAACTCCATTCGATCTGCAGAGTCCCTCTGCACCTTTAAGAAAAAGCTAAAGACCCAGCTCTTTCATAAATACCTACTAACTTAATGATGATGGTCTCGATATCATTGATGATAATTATGTTTGTGACGATTGTTTTTGTTTGATAACGATGACTTATAAGATGGTTTCTATACTGATTAGAGCTCTCAAGAACGGCCATCAATGTTGTGCTTTGCCTCTGTG